TTTTTTCTATTTTTTTTTTTTTTTTTTTTTTTTTTTTTTAAAAAAAAAAACACCCGGTTATTGTACCAAAGATTTTTTTTTTCAAATTTACAAAATTGACGCGGTCGGTCGGTCATGAGAAACAATCTACCCTAGAAATAAATGTGATTTAAAATGAAACATACTACAACTGTTTTCATGAATGATAAGTTGTTGGATTAATAAGTTACCGACGTCGACCGACATCAACGAATCATTGATTCGGTCATTATCAGTTTTTAAAAGCGTCTAAAAATATAAAGCTCTGTATCAGATCACAATTAAAGACAATAGAATAGTTGAGTGCATCATCTTACGAGTTGCATAAAACAAGTAAAAATTTATTTCCAAGCTTTGTACATTAAATTTTCTACATTTCTAAAGATTTACGAGCCATTCCTTGGCATTTTAGGGACTCTTCGTCATTTGGGTTAATCTTTAATGCATTATTAAAGTCTTCAAGTGAATTTCTAAATTCGCCAAGTGCACAATATGCTTTTCCTCGAGTTTTTAATGCATCAACATTCTTTGGCTCAATGTCTAATAATTTTGTTAAATTCTTTACTGACTCTTGGTATTTTTCTAACTTATAATAAGATTGTCCCCGAATCCTTAATGCAATTTTATTATTCGGATCAATTTTTAATGAATTTGTCGAATCTTTAAGGGATTCTTCATATTTTTCTAACTCAAAATAAGTTTGTCCACGATATCCTAATGTCACCGCATCGGTCGGATTAGCATTCAATAATTTAGAAAAGTCTGCAAGTGATTCCTTGTAACGTTTTAATTTATAATATGTTTGCCCTCGAGATGTTATCGCAGTTACATTATCCCGCTCAATTCTTAATGAATTGTTTAAATCTTCAAGAGATTCTTGGTAACGTTTTAACATATAATATGTTCGTCCTCGAGTTCTTAGTGCAAGTGCATTATTTTTCTCAAATTTTAATGATAAAGTTAGGTCTTCCAGAGATTTTTCGTAATTTTCTAAATAATAATATATTTGCCCCCGAAATCTTAATGCACATGCATCATTTTGATTTATATTCAATGCATTCGTTAAATCTTCAAGAGAATCTTCGTATTTTCCAAGCATATAAAATGCTTGTCCTCGAGTTTTTAATGCATCAAAATCATTTGGATTAATATCTAATGAACTTGTTAAAGTTCTAAGAGAAGTATTATATTTTCCTAGTTCGTAATAAGTTTGTCCCAGAAATCTCAGGGTAACAGCATTATTAGAATCAATTTCTAATAAATTTGTTAAAATTTCACAAGAATCCTGATATTTATTTAATTTAAAACAAGAATAACCCAGAAATCTTAGTGAATCTGTGTTATTAGGATCAAGCTTCAACGATTCAGTTAAATCAGCATAAGACTTATCGTAGCTTTCTAATTTGTAATGTACTTGCCCTCGAAAGCCTAGCACAACTGCATTATTTGTCTTAATTTCTAAAGACTTCTTTAAATCTGCAAGAGAATCTTCATAATTATTTTGCATAAGATGTGTTATTCCTCGAAAACTTAATGTATCTGCGTTATTTGGCTCAAATTCTATCGATTTATTTAAATCTTCAAGAGATTTATCATAGCATTTTAATGTACAGTACGCTTTTCCTCGAGTATTTAACGCATCAATATTTTCTGGTTCAAAGTTTATCAACTCTGTTAAGCTTTTTATAGATTCTTCATATTTTTTTAACATGAAATAAGATTTTCCTTGAACCAATAAAGCTGTAGTATTTTTTGGATTATTTTTTAATAATTCAGTCGAATCTTTAAGAGATTTGTTAAATTCTTTTAACTTAAAGTAAGCTTGTCCTCGATATTCTAATGTGATTGCATCATTGGGTTCAATTTCTAACGATTTAGTTAAATCTGCAAGTGATTCTTTGTAACGATTTAGCATGTAATATGTTTGACCCCGAAATCTCAGTGCAATAGAATTATTTGGCTCTATTTCTAATGATTTATTTAAATCGACAAACGATTTTTCATATTCGCCTAATATGCTGTATATTTGTCCTCGAGATCTCAGTGCAATAGAATTATTTGGCTCTATTTCTAATGATTTATTTAAATCGATAAGCGATTTTTCATATTCGCCTAATATGCTGTATATTTGTCCTCGAGATATTAGCGAAACTAAATCATTATCAATAATTTCTAATAACTTATTTAAATCCTCAAGCGATTTATTGTAATTTTTTTGTTTAAAGTAAGTTAATCCTCGGTACTTTAACGCATCTATATCATTTGGATCAATATCTAGCGATTTACTTAAAAGATCAATAGAGCGTTCATGGTTATTCGCCTCATAATAAACTAGTCCTCGAGCTTTTAGTTCGTTCGCTTCGTCTTTTCTTTGAGAAGATCTTTCTAAATTAGGTTCATTTGTTATCTGTACATTTGATTGAACGGAAAGGAATGTAGGTGATCCGTTCTTGGTCAAAATAGGAGTAGATTTTCGATTATGATTTATAATGAATTCTTCAACTGTTATTTTTTCTGATATTTTATTGAGAGACACCAAAATTTCGTCCGTTGTTGGACGTTCCTGTGGATCAATGTCCCAGCATTTTTTATAAAGCTCAGCGAAATCAGGTGGCGTACCAGGAATCGTGTCCTCTCGGTAGCCTTGCAAGATTTGAATGCATATGGTAATTCTATTGACAGTGCTCTCAAATGGGACAGTTCCACTTGTAAGCTCCCAGAATACTACACCTAAGCTATAAACGTCCGATTTTTTATCACGCTTGTATCCATTTTGATGAGATATTGGATCAATAAACGCTGGTGCACCATTAGAAGTTGAGATTGAAGAGATAAGGCTATCATTTATCTTTCTTGCTAAACCAAAATCCGCAATTAAGAATTCGCCATTATTTATTAAGATATTGTTAGGATGCTAAATAAATTATTAATTTATTAATTTAAATAATTTATAATAAAAGATATATTTAAATTATAAATTTAAATAATTTATAATAAAGATAGAGAATTGTTATTGCCACCCCCCATTTTTGTTAATGCCACCCCCTATATAACCCTAACCGGTCTAAAATCTTAAA